ACCCATTGGGGGAGATGGGCGGCATACAAGTTTGATAATAAATAAATAAAATAAATAAATATGTATATGTGGTGGGGGGATGCATAAGAAGTCAAAGACCCATGGAAGCAAAAGTAATCCTTCTCTGTTACAGCCCCCACCTTCTGGAACACTTCACCCCACCAAGGTAAAGGTAGCAGCCTCGTTATTGGACTTCCCCAAGGCTGTTAAGGCTATTTTCTTTGAGCAGGCAGGCAGGCAGGCTGAGAGGGATGTTTTGATTATAGGATGCCATATTTCTCTTTTTTTAATTATTTTTATGGATTATTGATTATGGTTTTGCTTTAATTCTGTTGTAACCTTGAATCATTTGAACTGGGCAGCAAAGGAATACTTTTATGAAGGAAGTGTTTCATTTTATTTAGGCTATTAGAGTGATATGAATGATTAATGCAGTTGTGATGATCAGGATATTATATGGACTAGTAACTTTTGGAGGCTGATTTATTGTTGGCAACCAAACCATGTGATTATATAGTTGAAAAATATGAAGCTGAGAGAAAACAGCCCATAAATCACCCAGGGCAAGGCTATCTTCAAGATAAAATGAGCAAAGAATTATCCCAATTTCATTTGTGAAACATCTACTGATGTAGAAAAGAAAGTTAGTGTTTCTTTAAGAATGTTCTCATTATTGCAAATTATATGTCAGGACTGAAAGTCAAGCTGAGAAAAAAAATAGTCAAATCTTTAATCTTTTGCTTCTGCAGAATTCCTTCCTGAGAAAATGCATAACTAGAGAACTGGTGTATTAAAAGCCTTCTCCCAGAAGACAATAGATTGATTTGTCAATTTTAGTTAAATCTATGCTACCTGGAAGACTGAATAATTCATATAATTCAATTTCTTACGTGTTTGTGTGTCAGTATATATCCGTAAGCTTTCTGATGAGGAGCAACCCCTGCGTCTCCGGCTGCTTGCTGGTCCTAGTGAAAAGACACTCAGCTTTGTTCTAAAGGAAAATGAGACTGGTGAAGTCAACGTGAGTATGGATACTGATGTAACTGAAGCTTGCTGTCGAGCTTGTGTGATGAAGTAATGAGTTACCTGTCAGTAGGACAAACTCCATAGTTATTTGCTATCTAGCAGCTTTTGCCTTGGCCTCAACTGATAGAGAAAGGCACTGGGCCTTGATCTCCTAGCTCCAGTTGCATGGTTTTTTAACAAGTACTTACACACATGCAATGTATAAAGTGTTGCAGTGTAATGTTTTCTGCCAGAAGTTGTCCACTTTTGAAAGTATAGCATACAAAAAATAATAGTGAACACAGAATGAATAAGCTGGACTGTTTAACAGTTGTAATAACCTTCTTTAGGTAACTATTGCTAGGAATCATATATGTATGAACATTATAATACTTTTACCAGTTACTTTATTTATTTTATTAAAATTAAAGGAATTTTGTGCCACAGAGCTGATATATCTTAATGTTTACAAGTGTTCTAATGAGAACTTTCAAGAAAACCTTTGCATTTGCTTGAATATAACATTTACATAATGCTGCTTGCTTTTGGAAAAACTTGAAATCAAAGATTTCTTTGCAGTAATTGTATGGGAAACAGCCACATCTTGAATTTGAAATGCCATGTTCTGAACTTGAAAAAGCTGCTCTGCCCTTCCCAGAAATCTTCATAGCTTGAAACAGGTTGGGACACTTCCAGTAAGGTTAGGACAGCTATTCTGAGCTTGGGGTTAGACACTTCAGATTTGGAAATGTTTGCATATTCCTAATTTTAGGAACCATAAAAATGTCTATCTCAAAATGTTCTACAAAAACCAATATTACTACTGTACTTTATAATTAGGAACTAAACTGGTTGAGTATAATTTACTACTCTAGAAGCTGTGCTTTTGTTACTGTTTCTGACTGTTAATATTCATTTATTAGATAGATCTATTAGATAGATCTAGAGTGCATTTGGAAAGTATTCAGACCCCCTTCACTTTTTTCAATTTTGTTATGTTGCAGCCTGATACTACAATCGTTCAAATTCATTTTTTTCCTCATTAATCTACGCTCAGTACCCCTTAATGATAAAGTAAAAACAGAATTTTAGAAATGTCTGTAGATTTATTAAAAAGGAAAAACTA